AACACCTGGACTAGTAAAACTAGGTATGCCGAGTTTGGGTTTGTTTTGTTAGTTATGATGAAACCGTCACCAACCAAAAGTTCTTTTCACTTTGTCTCTAGTACCAATAGATATCCAAGCTGATATTCGGAAAAATGAATAACCTCGTAGTAACATCTTTAGGGGCAGTATCGATATCCACTTACCAGCCACATTGTTTTTCGCTGTAAATAACTGTCCTTTATATGAACCTCACTTGCCCTCACGCAGTACCCACTTTACTGCACACTAGTTCACCCACCACCACCTCTGCCACCTACGCCTCCACATCTACCACCGCACCCCTCTCTAAGCCTTCGTTCTCCACCTCTGCTACCTCCGCTTCCACCATAAACTCTGCTTCATCCGTCTCAACAATAAAATCCGCTCCCTCCGCCGTCACCACCACGCGCCATCACTATTCTTTCCGCCTCCAACACAATTCCCCGTTTCCACTATCTCCGACTTCACCACAAATTTCTCTCCTCCGCCTTCACCACATACTACGCTGCATTCACCTCCGCCTCCACGTCTACATTATCTGCCTCCGTTTTCTTTGCGCACACACACGCACACACACACAAACACACACTCAGACGAATACACACGCACACACACACACCCGCACGCAAACACACGCACGCGCATACACACACGCGCATACACACACGCGCACTCTCGCGCACTCAGATAAATACAGACACACACACACGCACTCCCCCACACAAACACAAACACACACACACACACACACACACACACACACACACACACACACACGCACACACCCGCACATACACTCACACACACGCGCGCACGCACGAACGAACACACATACACGCACAAGTACATACACAAACACAAAACAACAGTGGACACACGCACGCACACACGCACACACTCGTACCCACACACAAAAGCAAACACACGCACAACCGCATACACACACACACACACACACGAACAACAGTTAACATACGCACGCACACACTCACACATACACACACACACACACACACACACACACACACACACACACACACACACACATACGTACTAAAAACACAACAGTGCACACACACACACACACACTCACACACACGCGCATGCACATGCGTTCACACGAACACACATGAACGCACATACACCCACACGTACGCGCACACACAAACTCGCATAAAAACACACACACACACACACAAACACACACACACTCGAGTGACAAATTAATTTGTAATAATGTACTATCCATCATCTTAAAATTGATCTATGACAAATAAATAAAATAACACAAATTCACTCACACGATAATGAAAACTCGAACAAACGTCTTTCCACAATAAAACCTGCCAAAGTTTGATCCACAAAATCAGCAGATAACGTATTTTCTTACCCTATTACTATAACGAATCAGCCAACTGGGTTCTCTGTCACACACAGAATGCGACGTTGCCGCTTCGTGTTCGAGTACCTATTCGTCAATTATGGCTCCGGATCCACTTAGTCTAAGTAAATGTCGCATATAAATTAAATATACTCTGGATCTAAAAAATCATATTCAGTATGATTTTTTCGACCGTTGATAGATCATCAAATGTTGATCAAATCGCTGATGAGTATATTGAAATCGTATTAATGCAGATCCACCGACATCACACGCGCATCAAGAATTGATCAAAGTGCTAGTAAGTACGCGGTACGTACGCGGAATAGTAAGTACGCGGTACGTACGCGGAATAGTAAGTACGCGGCACGTAAGTTGAACTATGACCTTGTATACGCAGTAACACACTTTCGGGTCTCAATCGAAGTGCGGTATGAGGTTCACCGCGAGGGGCCACGCGTAACCATAGCAACGTGGCGGCGCTAGACCCACTCAGTCGCACTCTGTCACTCGCCACGCGCGCACTCACCGCGCGGCCCAGGAGTACAATCGCGTACGAAGTTTTCAACTCTTTGACATTTACAATTCTGTCGATTGCGTGATCATTTAATTTAATTTCAAAAAAGATGACTCGACCACAACCAACTTTAAGGAGACAGGGGAGAAGAATGATATTTGATGTTTATAATTATTTTTTAAAAGGAAATAATATAACTGATTCTCTGAATAAAACTGCGGAAGCTACGAAAAAGTCTGTATCCACAGTTAAAAGGATTGTTAAAGAAAGTAAAAGTTCAGAGTTTATAGTTACTTTTAGGACCCCTGGTAAAAAGAGGCAACGAATAAAGACAGTCACAGGCATAGACAATTTTGACAAGGGGGTAATAAAACGGTGTATTCACAATTTTCATTTAACTAAAAATGAATTACCGACCCTTGGTAAACTTCGTGCAAAATTACGTGCCGATATATAATTTGAAGGTTCTGAAAAAAGTCTTCGTCGCATTATTAAAGAACTTGGATTTAAATGGAAAGCCACCGAGAATAATAGACTGTTAAGAATAAATTATTTAGAAAAATTAAGACAGTATCGACAATAAAACAGACCAATTGTATACACAGATGAGTCATATGTTCACGCTACTCACACCACACCGAAAGGTTGGACAGATGGATCAAGTAAAGGAATAAAAAAACCCATATCAAAAGGGCAACGTGTTGTGATAGTACATGCCGGATCGGAGACTGGTTTTGTGCCTAACGCCTTGTTAACGTTCAAGTCAGGTATGAAGTCCGGGGACTATCACGACGATATAAATTTTGAGAATTATGAGAAGTGGATTCGAACTCAATTGATACTGAATTTTCCCCCAAATTCAATTATAGTTGCAGACAATGCATCATACCATAATAAGGAATATGACTTAGCACCAAACGCGAATTCAAGGAAAGCTGATATGCAGGCTTGGCTTTCAGAAAAAGGAATAACATTTACGTCTGAAATGTTGAAGCCTCAATTATACCTATTAATAAAAAATAACAAAGATCGCTTCAAAACATTTAGTATAGACAAGATTTTTAAAGAACATGGTCATGACGTACTTCGCCTGCCTTCCTACCACCCAGATCTGAACCCTATAGAAATGGCATGGGCAGCTATAAAGGGTTATGTAAGTAGCAAAAATGTACTATGGAATGTGCCCCGTGTTATAGAGTTAGTGAACGAAAAGGTAAATGCAATGGGACCATGTGATTGGAAAAAGCTATGCGACAAAGTTAAGGCAATCGAAGAAGCTTATGTCAAAAGCGACCATGTCATCGATAAAATGACGGAAGAGTTTATAATACGGGTTGGAGATTCTGACAGCAGTGATTCTGAATTGAATTCCTCAACTGACGTAGAAGAAGAAATCGCAACTCCTGGCCCAAGTTCTGGTCACTAGGAAATTATATAGAAGGTGTCATGCCAATGAGTGAAAGTGATTGAACATGTAAGTAGATAAACAGATTAACTTTTTAATGTTTTAAATTTTTATTAGTATTCCTTTAACTGTTCCATTTAATAATACCTAACAATCACAAATAAATCATGTAATAAGAAACACAATTATTTGAAAGAAAATCGAAATTATTTTTATGAAACTTTATTTTTTGTTTAATTAAATTACTTCACTTCATTTTCACACTTATTAAAATATATTTAAATAGGACGAATTCACGGTTTTTCCTTTAAGATTTTCGAATTTTTCAGGCAACCGTGGAGCATGTGTCTAACATTTTTGTCCATAATTGTACCTGCGCAAACGACCGCCATTTTAGTTCAACTTACGTGCCGCTAACTGTATATCAGTTTGTGCGACGAGGAGCTGAGCAAACACGTCAAATAGTTGGATCAACAATTGTTCTAACTTCTCACTGGATCAACATTTACCGTGAAAGGATGATATATATATTTATGAAAGTACAGTGTGAATTCTAGCTATATATATATGACACAAAAGTACTGAAGCGACAGTAGCCTAATGGCAGGGCGCGGATCGCGAACTCAAAAGGTCGTGGCTTCGAATCCGCCATTTGACTACTATCGTGAACTACTCCTAACCGTGAAAGGATGATATATATATATATATATAATCCATGCAAAAATCATGGAGCTATATTTTTATGAAATCGAAAAAAATTATAAAATAAATTGTTTTGATTACACTGGATTGTGTAACTCTGTTCAGAATCGTTTTTCGGTGGGCTTCGTTCCGTAACTGCGTTATGTTTCTTCAATATGATAATATTTTGTTTAGTTACATAGATATTATAATAATTGTCTTTGTGTCACCTGATTCCTAACAGTTACACAATCGCAGTGCTGTTGCCACAACGCATAATATGTGGCGTGGAGTTACTTGACAGGTATTGTTGTCCCTCCGATCTTAAAATTTTTCCTTATTAACTATACCTCTTAGCAAAATTTGCAATGCATACAATTAATTAATATAACAGTATACTGCTTTGTTCCTCAGATAACGAACTAAAGGATGTATAAAGGTAGAGACAAAATCACAAAAAGTATAAAAGCAGCTTTAATTCTAATAACAAAATTACACACAGTGTGAAGTAATGATTTTCTATTCATTTTTAATAAGTTAATCACATTCATTAATTACATTAAATTCAACTGATTAACATAGGAACTATGGGGAGGATAGATTGCCTATTAAATATAATACTTGCCATAGCTACCAAGCTTGGCAGACGCGTTAGCACACGTAGTTCTATATTATTTAAGGTTTTTATGGAAAGGATATTGCTGCCTATTTCTCGTTTCATTTACATCTGTTGCCTGTTTTGACACTTTTATGATAATATCTGATATTTTATTAAGCCTCTAGCTACGTGACATACTTCTAAATAAATAATACTTCCAACTAAACGTAAATTATTGAATTATAACTTTTTTAGTTTTCTTAAATTAAGGAAATGTTATGTAATAATCTCAAATTTTGCTTATTTGAAATATCCGTTTTAAAGGAATTTCCCCCTATTATTTAATCACCTTTGTTAGATATTTCATTTAAACTTATGAACTTTTCTCTTGTTTCAGATTGGGAGCTTAAAAAATTTCTTCTTGTTTTCCCATCCTAAAATCAATAAAAGATCTATTAATGCAAGTATCGATTACATGAATCGCTTAAAGAACGATCCCCAGGTAAGCCTTATTTTATTTAATAGTTATTTGTTTTTTAAATTTAAATGACAAACGAACATAGAGACTACCTCATGGTGAGGAGCAACTTCAAATAAAGAACTTTGATGATGAGTGATATGTGTTATCATCTCCGAAAACTAAGATAAATACCTCATAGCTTGTAATCAAACTTGTTTACGCTTCTGATCGTATCACAGGGCTGAAATATAAGTTATCTATTCCAAAAGGGACTCCTAAACAGGTGAAGATTTATACAGTACTCCATTGTTCTACTTTTTACTTAAACAGGGTACTGATCCTCCCAAGAATTTGCCCAAAATCCCAACAAGCGTATATTTCCATGTATTTATATGTATGTAGCTATACATGTATTTATGGGTATATAATAGAATATATATATATATAAAAAAAAAAAATATATACATATATATATATTTACATTTTTTATTACTGTTATGGTAGATGCCACTGTTTTAAATGATAAGTAAATAAATAAATAACTTTTTAATGCAAAAAAATTAACTGTAAAATGTATTTTATGTTTAACGGAAAACTTGTCTTGGATTCAAGGACTTAAAAGTATTAGGTACCTGTAGGGGAATATATATATATATATATATATATATATATATATATATATATATAAATAAAGTGTGAATACTTACCCAAATAATTTGATGCCGTTTGTGCTTAGAAACATGTTTAAGCAGTGACAAGCAACATCAGTCTGCTGGCAGCATGGAAAATTTATGTGCGTGTGTTTGTTTCCGACCGCGTCTATCTATATTTTTCCTGAATTTTTTTGTCTAAGTCCCGAATTTAGTTAAAATTTTATTGCTGATGTTATTATTCCAGATTCACTGACAGCTCCAGACATTATATTTCGCGATAACATAAACTATTTTGAGCAATAGTCCCTGCATATTTTTTATTTTTAACTCTTATACAAAACGATAATTTGGGGTTATGTCGATAAAGTGAACGCGATTACCCCTTAGTGTGAGCGACTTGGAGTTAAGAGGACTAAAACTGTAATTGAAAAGGGGGGGTTCAAACGATTAGCAGCGAAAACAAATAACATTCCAATCGTTACCAAGGGATAAACAAAATAAAGAGCTAACTAACAGTCCACAGCTAGGTCATAAGCAGATCAATAAGAAAACGAAAGCAAAATGTTACAAACTCAACTTAGAGACTAAAGATGAAGAAAATAAAAGTATTTGCAACAATAACAGAGACGATGAAATGGGTGTGGATGATGAAACCTATAACAAATGCAATCTTAGCAAATAGTTTGATGAAATTGTCAGATATGGTATCGCCGTACCACGTGCGGACAGTAAACCCCATGCTATGTACTCCGGCAAAATTTTTACTAATAGGAATAAAATATGCTAAATTGCGATTATAGATAAATAACCTTTACTTTAGTTGTTTATAGTTTATATGTCATGCATTTGATTATTGAAAATTTACCTCACTTGTCATATTCGAACAAATATATATGTGCGACATTATCCCTAAGCTTGAGCGGTATTATTTCTCAAGATATGTGAGAAGTACGCGTTAAGGCACGGCTTGAGTTACAATACTAATAAAAACGAGTTGATGGTATTAACGGCCGTCGGCTGTAGAAGCCCAAAAAAAGTACCTGCTATTAAATTAAATGGCACTGAATTACAACGTGTTAGTAAATTTAGGTACCTAAGGCATTTTGTTACCGATGAACTCAACGACAATGTTGACATTGAAAGGGAGCATAGGGCGCTGGCAGTCCGATGCAACTGGCACGTAGGCTTGTGCGCTGTAGTGATCAAGTAACGATAACATCATTTAAAGCTCATTGTCAAGTTTTCTACACGTGCAGCCAGTGGTCGAATTATTTACAGCCTTACGGGTCCAGTACAATAACGGCCTCAGAATCTTGTTGGAGCTGCCCTAATTTTGCAGTGCATCAAGCATGTTTGTAAAGGCGCATACGGATGACTACTACGCCATTATAATTTTTTTAAAAAAAAACAGCCACGACTCTCGGCGGGTGAAGACTAGCTCAAACTCCATCATGAAAGTAAATGCTGAAAGATATGACTTATTTCTTTTTAAGCAATATTACCACCTCTGTGTAGTTGATAAGGCACTTTTATTTAAAAATTAAATGTAGGTGCAAACATTAATTATAAATTTCATATTTTACTCACAAATTATATGGATTACTCAGATAACTGAAAAGAAATAGTATTAAATTACCTGCAGTCATGGGTAATGGCACTCAAACCATTTTTTTTCTTTTGTAAAACGTTCTACTGATTATTTATTAATAAAAGATAAATTCTTTTTGCGTTAGAATGTGGCTTACTAATTATTTAAATCTTAGTTATTTTTTATTTTTAAGATAAACTATTTTTCAATAGAGCGTTTTTTTCTTAAGTGAACGGCATTCCTCCTGGTTCCTATTCTAAAAATTTTCATACGACCAATTATTAAATTCTGAAGCCATTCCATTTCAGTACCATTTTTAAACATATTTTTAACCTATCATTTTGAGCAAATAACGACGATCTGGTTATGCAATAGCCAACCTTCTTGTCAAGCATGGTGGTCAAGGCAAATCTCAAAAATAAAATATAATCTTGTCACTTTAAGAAAATTTCTATTGTTTAAAATTTTCGTGATATTTCGCCTTTTTTGTCTAAAGAATTTTGATCTAAGAAAAGGTATACCTTTTACTTATATTATTTTTTCTTATTTTTTTAACTAACTATAAACCAGGGCTTCACCACAATCCCACCTGGTGGTTAGTGGTGATGTGGTCTTAGGGTAACAAAAGACCTGGGAGTATTCACTCTTGCCTTGAATACGCCCAAGTCGTATTGGAACGGAAAGATAGACGCCGGCAAACTATTCAACTTTTTTGCTGTACGCATTACAAAAGCCGAAGCCAAACCGTTTGTTTCTAATGCGTGGAATATCTAGAACAAAGGAATGAAGACCCGCCGACCGCCTGTTTTTCCGATGGTGGAAAGCGAGATAGGAATGAAATTTCTGTGCACACTCTCTGAAATGCATCCTATAGAATTCTAAGAGGCTGGCCACTCTGCGCCTGTGCTCGAGGCTGACAAGATTCGTTTCAACCAAATCTAGGTAACCAATGAGCCTCATAGCACGCGTCTTCACTGCTAGCACTTTTGCAACATTGGCATGTGACTGCAGTACTCCATGCATGACTGGACTAGCGCTTTATTTAAGGTAAGAAGCGTCCCTAGCTTGAAGTAAGAACACCTAGTTTTCTTACGACTGCTTTGGCTCTGGACTCAATGAACTACCTATAGTGGAGGTTCAGAGAAAATTCAACCTCTAACAACTGAAGGCAGTTAGTGTGAGGAGCCAGGATGAGCGGGTTCCTTTTAGCGGTGAAAAGACACGCTTGTGTTTTGGAGGCGTTGAATCTCCCAACATTGCTGTTGCCTGCATACTCGTAGATGTCTGGAATAGGCAGAAAAAAGAAAAAAATCAAACAACGAGTTTTTTTAGCCTACTTTTATCATTTATTTTCATAAATTAACGGCTTTGTTTGAAGAAGTTAAGTTAACCGGAGTCTGATTTCCAAAAAACATTGTAATTTATTGTTATATCTTGTACATACTCTCCCTTAATTGTTAACTCAATTGACTTCGTTAGTGAAAACAAATGCCCGCATTGAAAATGTTGCTAAGTTACTAATTCTGAAGAATTATTACATCAACAGCTCTTAAATTATGACTGGAGCACGAGTTTCAAATTTGTAATTTTCAATATAGTTCAACACGTTTTCACTTTATGTCCTAAATTATATTATGATTTTTATTAAAAAGCATTGCAAAAATTGCTTAAAATTCCAATGAAAGTGATCCTTTAATTTAAAAAATCATGATTCAAAATTAGAATATCTTTGAAAATTCTTTAAAGTCGATTATATTTTTTTCTTTTTATAAGTATATACCAACAGTTGTTACCACAAACATCAAATTAATACAACTGCTTAAAAGTATTAACCAAAAGTGCTACAATTACTTGAAGGTAAAATCCGCATTCATATCATTGATATACTAAATTATCTTAAAACAATTGGTAAAATTAAAAATTGTGCACAACCGAATTCAATATAAATAAAAGCAGTCTAGGTGCGACCCTAAATGTGTCCACACGACTAACTTTCCAGTGGAAGGAATAAAAAAATAACATATGTGTAAATATTTTATACAATTTTTCATTCGGTACAAAAAACGACTAGACCACTTTTGCTCAAAATTTAATAAGTAATATTTTACATAATTGTGCGAAATGAAATTGGTCCCATATCAATATAACTCTTTGTCAGAAATACTTACATGTACACACACGGACATCCTCTTAAAAACCATACTATTCGAATCGAAGCAAAATCGAACCCATTACAATAACCTCTTACTGGGAAGTTAGTAAAATACAGATAAGAACATTATCAACGTATTCGAAGTCAACTAGATACGCATTATTAAGGATAACTCAAAAACTACTCATCAGATCTTAAGCTAATTTATATGCAACTACACAAGGAGCAACAGCTATCATATAAAAAGGAATCAACAAAATCGGTTCAGTTAAAATATATATATATATAAAAATATATATATATATATAGAGAGCCAATCAGAGCACAGCAAACGATAAAACGATAAGATAAACGATCGGATTGGCTGAAAGCAGCCACGACGTTGCCGTTTCGTACAAGCTACAGATTATATGCGTGTTCAATACAATAATGCATTTAGGGTGCTATGGGTCTGCGCCGTTATTGTAATGCGCCGGGTATGTTTGCGGATGCGCGTGTGGATTGTTTATACACTACCATGCGTAAACGATGCACATCCCTGGTGCGTGCCAGTTCCAATGGTATCCTGAGGGCATTTTCTGACAGGTTTGAGGTCAGTACCTGAACCATTGTCATATGGTGCACGTGCTGACTAATCGGGCCTGTCTTA